TAAACCTCTATGGCCTGGTACCCAAACTAGTCGGACGAGTCGCACATGTGTAGGAATGAGCGAGTAGAAAGTTTCTAAGGTACGCGAAAAAGTTGGTGAGCTTAAGGCAGTACAGACCGAGAGACAGTCTGTTATAACAATCACCGCTGATAGATCTTGCGGCACTTTACGCAATGCAAGGGCTATTGCCAGTAGTTCTGCTTGGTAAATAGGTGTAAAGTTGGGTAATCGAATTGCGAAAGCCCAATCTAGAGAGGATGATACGATTTCTACACCAGCCTTCTCTCCATAAACCGAAGCGTCAGTCGCTATCACAATGGATGTTTCTAGATTGGCCAAATGATCTTCCAAAATGCCATTTATATACTGATATGGTAAAGTTTTTGCATTCTTGGGATATATATCGTCAAATTCTATCCTAATTGCATCTACAGTGTTGAGCACAAGTGTTTCCCAAAGGTTAACTCTTAAGGGCTCCAAAAGTTTCTGAGTAAATATTACTTGTGGACACCTTAATTTAGGCCATTGGTGGTTGAAGAATGAGGTCTGCTGGCTAATGAACACATACTGTGCCCTTCGCTGAGGTGATGCATAGATTTTAAGGAATGTACGTACTGTTAGAATATGAAATCTTTTGATAAGAGAAGGCAGGCGGGATTCTTCGTATAGGATATTGTTGGCAACATATTTGTGTAGCCCTAGGCATAAGCGTAAAGATTCGCTTTCTAGCAGAATCAGTGGTCGAACTTTGTAGGCCGGAGCGCCAGAAAACAAAACACAGCCGAATTCTAGTATCGGTCGAATGTACATGCAATATATCATAATGAGCACGTCTCTACGCAAACCGGCACGATAATTACTGAGCCTGCGCAGCATCCCTACGGCACGTGCTCCTTTAGCGGCCATGTTTTCTATGTGGGGACTCCAGTTTAGTGTTTCGGTGTAGGTTACCCCCAAGTACCTAACTGACTCGACCTGAGGTATGGTGTCCTGCCGGTACGTTAGTGAAATTCGCACTGGGGCATTTTGTGCGAAAACTATGATTGTACTTTTGTTTGTATTGAGGCATAGGTTGATATCCTCCAGCCACGTTTCCAGACTATTCATGTATGTCTGCAGAATCAGGTACAGTGTGTGAATATCCGCCGACGCAGCAAAAAATGCAATATCATCGGCATACACATAGACCTGTACATCTTGCTGTATGGGAATGGAACATAGTAGAGCATTAAATAATAAGGGCGATAGTACTGACCCTTGCGGTATACCTCTCGTTTGCCTGTATACTGAAGAGTTGACACCAGATTGCGAGCAGTAAAATTCTCTATCACCTAAGAAAGCATGGATCCAGGCCACAAAGTATTGAGGCAGTCCTAAATTCTGAAGTGAATCTAGCAGTTTAACATGCTCCACGCTATCATAGGCTTTTGTGATATCTAAGGTTACCAAAGCGGAGTATTGTTTCTGATATCGAGCAAGTTGAATTCTGCTTTCGAGATCCACGTGCGCACACCAAATGGAGCAACCACGCCTGAATCCAATCTGACATGGGCTCAGTGTCAGTTTTTCTGACATCCATCGATCTATACGTCTATATAAAATTCTTTCAACTAGTTTTACTAGGTTCGATGTAAGTGAAATGGGCCTGATATTATCTAAGGTAAACCCAGCGCCTTGCTTTTTTAATAATGGAATCACTTTTGTCATTCTCCAATCAGGTGGCATCCAAGAGCTTCTAAGTGAGTGATTAATAATTTCGAGTAGGCCAAGTGGGAATATTTTATGCACAGATTTTATCACTGATGTCGTCATGCCATCAGGACCAGGAGCCGAATGGGGTAGTGTTCTGACTACGTTTGCTAATTCTGCAGGCGTAACCTCTTCAAAATCCTCAGCCCTTTGGGGGGACTGGGCTTGGTATGAGAGAAGTGTCGTAAAGCGACTTTCTAGGCCCTGAGCTATATCTTCTAGAAGGGCCTTCAGTTCAACTGGTGATGATACTACAGATTCTATATTTCTTTGTACCGGAAGAACTTTCTTAGTTCTCAGAAAGCGAAAAAGTGCTTTTCTATTGACCGGCTTTGACAGGAACTCACATCGGTCGTTGTTAAATTTGTCCTTCGCATTAGCGATGGTTCTCTAAATAGCGGCTGCATACTTATAATCACTCCAGTTCCTGGGACACTGGTTGAAGATTAATTTTTTCCATGCAGCCTTTCTTAGTCTATAAGCCCGCGAACAGTCCGCATTCCACCAAGGGTTGGTAGACGGTTTAGCGCTTTCAATGGTGAATTTTGATTTATTTAACGACTCTTTTAAAATGTCGCTAATTCTGATGGCGTCTAGTTCTGCATCATTCGTTTTATTAGATAAAGCGCCTCGTAAGGATTTCTCGAAAGCATTAAAGTTTACATGTGTTACGGCAGATCTATTCTTGGAGGTTGTTGGACATACCACCTCGAACAATATTGGCATATGGTCACTACTTGTTCCCGAGTTAATCGCAGACCATGATAAGATGGAGAGGTTAGCGTTAGAAAAAGTTAGATCGAGTACCGAGGAGGACTGATTACACATAAAAGTAGGAGTTTTTGTGTTTATGCATATAAAGTTATTATTGTTCACCCAATCCCATAAACGTTTGCCATTCAGATCAGTTTTAAAACCCCAAGATATATGATGAGAATTGAAGTCACCTACTAATACAATATCTTTTTGGCAATATTGAACTGCAGTATCTAGGACGGAAGAATTTAGAACACCCGCAGGAAAATAAGCATTAATAAATGAGAATGGGAGGGACCCAGGAATAGTAATGCTTATTGCTAAAATCTCGCTTTCTGAAGCCAATGACTGATAAATAATTTTAGCTCTATGGGCGATTTTAGATGAGATAAATATTGCCAAACCTCCATCCCGAGTTGGGCGGTCTAGACGAAATGTGCGGTAATTTTTAATCCTAAAATACTTATTTTCTACAAGCCAAGTTTCTTGTAAAGCAACAATATAAGGGGAGTAATTATCGCAAAGTTGAAGTAAGTCTGTGGCTGCTGAAAAAATGGAGCGGCAATTCCACTGTAGTACTTTTAAATTCCCTATTTTGAAGAGATACCAGCAGCACTCACTGCTTTCTCTAAGATGCTATCTTTTAAAAAATATTTTTTTGATGGGTTTTCCTTCTGATATCTCTTATTTCTTGATTTAGGACTAATTGAGGACCGTTGTGCCTCAGGAGAAGCACGTCGTTTCATATTTCTTGAGTCAGAGTCCATTTGTTCTGGTTGTGAGACATGAGAATCGGAGTCCGAGCTCCAATCTAGGTCCTGTACAAGAGGCTTAATTATTCTACGGCCAGTGTTCGGCGTGTCTGGCTTTGACTTCGAAGGGCCTGGTTCCGATGGAATATCAGTAACCTTAACTGGTGAAGGGGGCACGGTAGGTTGGTTACCTCCCTGCAATATTTGATTCAACTGAGTGCTCACTATTTGTGCCAATGACTCCGTTAGGCTCACGAATAGAGATTCCATAAGTTTCGTCATGGCCTTTTCCACCGTTGATGTTATTAAATCAGGCAACGATGACTCAAGCATCTGGTTTGCCCGGTTGGCAACGGAGGCATAGCCACGTGAGCGCTCAGAAAGAATAGATCGGGCCTCACGCCGGGAGCATCGTTGTTGTTCGATGATCTCTAGAAGTTGCAACTCACATGTCCTCATGGGGCAACTTTCATCGTCAGCCGCGTGATTTCCTCTGCATAGACAGCATCTCACCTCTTGGGTTGAACATTCGTCGGGTTTATGTTGGTCAGAACATGTGCGACACCTCACATCCGATCTACATCCCTTGATGGTATGCCCATACCTCCAGCATTTTTTGCACTGCAGTGGACGAGGGGATAGTGCATCAACACGATAAATTAGTGGCCATGCCTTAATTTCGGTTGGTCGAGCCGTGCCGACGAAAGTCACAATCACTGATTCTGTGGGGACCTTTTTGTTCTCAACGTTACGCGAGCATCGAAATACAGAGACTGCTCCTGCGGCCGCAAACATTTCAAGTATTTCGGGTGGTGTAAGGCTCAAGTCCACTCCTCGAACTAGTCCCTTCACACAGGCCAAATGGGCAGGTACGAAACAGCTCACTGGATTTGAGGCAAACGTTGTGCATTTTAGAAGATCTGTGATGCAGGCCTGGTCCGGCGAGCAGCACAGGATGCCTCCACGCCCAAATTGACGCACCTCAGTAATCATTTGGTAATGATCGAAAATCTTCCGGAGTTCTTCCTGAATTAGTTTCGGGTTTTTCATGCGAATAGACTCGCCGTTGGTTGGAACCAGGGCCACAGGAACGCTCTTCAGGCCACTGCGCAAAAATAGATCGATTGGCAAATCACTGTTAGGAAGGGACGCCGACCAGGCAGAATATGCCTGGCCGGGAGAGGAAAGAGACATCAGGTTAATAGGCTTAACAGCACCGCCCGATCCGGCCGCTCCCCCACAGTAGGAAGCACGAAAGTGCCCTTGAAGCAGTCAGGAAGCACCGGAATGAAATATGCTAGCTCACGACACCAGGTAGTTCACGACACCAGGCGAGCCTTCCAGGAGGAACGTCGTGTGGGACGGTGCGAGCGCTCTTTTTCTTCTGAAACCACAGTCATGAATGAAGTCGGTGAAGTCATGAAGTCGGTGAATGCCTCGGAGTTTCTTTCCTATGGCTAGTTTTTTTTCCTACCATGAGTATGGTAGGCTATAACCACGGCCGCTGGTACAACGCAGAGCTGAAAAACAACGGAACGCGGAGGAATGAGGTGCGACTTGCAGAATCGAAACTAAAACTAAATGAACTTATTACTAAAAAAGTTAGGTTTTCTAACGCATTACATATTTTATTAAATACTCATTCTATACAGATATTTATGTATTTTAGAGGTATATAAACAAAAACTATATATTCATGAATTTTAAAAGGAGTCAAAGTCGAAGCCAAAACCAATCCGACATTTTGAGAGCGTGCATATTGAGGTCGTGTAGCTGTGCTACCGGTCTGTTGACTGTCGTTGCTATCGTTTTCGTTGCCGTTCGAACCCCCTCACTGACTGCTTGGCCCTCTAAACTGCGGAAACTCGGCGTGCACAGCTTCTTCAGCTGCATTCATGGCTTCCATATCGAACTACGCCAAAAGGATGGCGCTGTTGGGCGCGCGCATATTTGGAGAGGTGCCTCGTCCTACGAACAAAAAGTCCATGCGGGTTGTGCAACTGTTCAGTGATGTCCCCCATGACTTGAACCCCGAGATTGTGGACTGGTATCCACCTCACCACCAGTTGACCACTCTCATGTTTCGCCTTCGAATGCACGGTCTGTACAGAGACGAGCATCAGGACTTCAAGGAAGAAATGCGGCGTCTTCGCAGGTTGCGAGGCAAAGGAAGACCGAAGAAGGGCGAAGGAAAACGAGCGATGTTGGCAAAGAAGTGATGCGTGCGTTGGACTGCAAAACTAGAAGCAGTTATGTGAAATATAATTTTGTTTCCCTCCTTTCGTCTACCTTTGTCTTTTGCCGTGTGCACACGCGCTGGTACTGCATACTTTCATTTCTTACAAAATACAGGAAATCTCAGGAAACCAATAGTTTTCGCGTTTGAGATGCAGCAGTCAGCGTTTAGAAACACCGCCGTATGTTTTGCGTTAAAGTTAAGGGGAAACTTGGCCGGGTGTCTTTAGATTAAACGTACAGTACATATTGAACGGAAGTTGCGCGGTTGTGATATTGTTCGCGTGAAACACTTCAAATGTGTTGCCAGACTGAAAAAGAAAAGTATTTCTGTTGAAATCAGCAGCGCATTCCACGTAGCTCAACAGAAGGACGATTTTTCTAGTGAATAGTCTCTGCAACTGATTATGATACATGGGTGGAATAAGCGCAACTTACAGCGTAAATAATAAGCACAGTCCAGAATTAGATAGCCTATGTTCAATGCACTTAGCCTTAACATAGAAACTGGCAATAGCAGAGTACATATTCGGGGGATAGTGTAGAACAGGGATCGGCCAAGCCGCCTGCCCAAAGGGGTGTGTGTAGGTGTTCTCTGATGCCCCTGCGGCGTGGTTTCACCGCGCAGCACGACGGAAAACGTCGTTGTCACGTGACAAGAGTTGCCGTTCCTGTCAACAAGCTACTTGAGGTTCACCATTCCACGATCAGATGGCTAACCTGTAAGCCCGTCTAAGCTATGTGCGAAAGGCAGGTCGTGGTTTACTTCTAGTCATTTCCAAAGACCTAAGGTCGATTTTGAACCAGACTATACCCCCAACGCCTGCATGCGAACTACGACCTCCGTGGTGCGAACCTGTTTCCAGCGGCCGTGCCTGTGGTCACTACGCAGCATTGGTCCAACGTCTCAACATGCCGCAAACGTCTGTTGCTGACGGGAAGGCACAACGACAGCCGACGACTAAGCTGTGTGAGTGAGGGCAAACATTTGGATATTTGGTGCGGCGCAAAATGAGCGACAACTTTTGTGGGGGCCTGTTTACTGGACCTGAGCGACGCGCGAGGCTCTTGGGGCGCGTGTCGGCACACGGCAATTGAAACAAAAGTAAAGAGAGAGGGAAGGGGGAGTACACACAACGTCACAGAGCAGAGCCATAGTCTTGTGCGGTATACGGCATCATGAAAAGTATATAGCCGCTCGTGCAAGTCTGTTGTCCTTAAAATTTTTAGCAATGTCTTGGATGCTTGAATTCTCGATGACCTTCTAAGATGACGTTGGAGAATAGTTTCTAATATCATTGTTCTGTTGTCAAGACGAGCGAGAGCAAATGGGAGGGATCGTTTCAGCACAGTCTGGAACTAGTTTAATAAGATACACGAGCAAGGAACACTACCACTTCCTGTGTTGAACACAGAGGGAGACACTGTAGAAGAGCAGGCTAACATTCACGGTTCTCACTTAAAACATCTGTCCAGCCCGTTGCACTACTCTGGAAGTTTCCAGCGCTATCTATAAAGCAAGAATAAAGGCATGAAAACTACAGAGCAAATGTGCTAAATACGAAGCATACTTCAACCGGACTAGAGGAGCGGCACGTGCGCACCCTTTTCAATTGAGGAGGAAACCCGCGCACGTTAGTCATAAATAAAAAGATAGTTTATTATGATGAAACCTCTTACATAGACGAGTATTTCTGACTTAATAGAGTGAGACGCTGTAGAAAAGCAGGCTAACTTGCACGGTTCTCACTTAGAACATCTCTCCAGTCTGTCCAGCTCGTTGCACTACTCTGGAAGTTTCCAGCGCTACAAAGCAAGAATAAAGGCATGAAAACTACAGAGCAAATGTGCTAAATACGAAGCATACATGACCATTCTGCTTAGCGGAGTTGCAAGCATCTCAACTGCTGCATAATATCCTCCCCAGGCTCTGACCATTTAGTATTTGAAATATTGCTGCATCTATCTCTGGAAACGTAGAAAATTCGCTGTTCTTTGTATGATGCCATTTGGGTTTTCTGGGGAGGTACCTACTTCATCGAAGGGAGGAACTGTAATCCCTGTGAAGGCAGTAAAGTTATGGCAAGTGGTCAGAGCACGCAAAATATTTTTGTACTGCTTTTTACTCGTGTTTTTTGCAAAGCATCGTAATCAGGGTGAATCAAAGAGTGATACCTACGTTCCTTTTTCACTTGACTTTAGCAGTGTTTTGACATTTATGTTTAAACGCAGGTGACGACCTTGAAGGTGAAGCATTTAAAGAATGGCGCCAAGCGAACGATCAGCTCATGCGTTTCTACAGGGACCACAAATTCCAACTTGACAAGATTGATTATGGAATAGTGGCGGCAACGTTGAGCCCAGTTGTGGCATCCTGCTTTCGGGGCTCTTCGTGGAAAAACTTTGCTTGTGCTTTGGGCATTCCCGACTCCGAGTTAGAGGTGAGTGTGCTCTCATTTCGAATCTGGAATCGTGCGTATAAATGTGAATCCAGGTAAGGCTGACACTAATGCTGAAAATGACTAGATAGGGCCTTAGTTGAGCAAAAGAAAATGGAACTCACCCAGGCTCACTCAAGAAGTATTGATAAAAAGGATTACTGCCAGTGCAAAGCAAGAAGCACTGAAAAAGAAGGAAGACGACATTACTTCTATCACAATCTCAGTGCCCTGTAAAACCCCTCTCAAGCTCCTTCGTTGTACGTAACAATATATATTGTACTTTGGACCACTTGGACTCGGACTCTTCAAAATTTTCCTGAGCCAACTCACTCGGACTCAGACTTGCGAAAATATTACTCACCTGGACTCAATCACACTCACGGCTTGATCTGTGACTGACTTGACTCATGAGTGAGATCACTGACGTATGCCCCAAGCTAACAGAAAGTGCTTTGCATCTTCTTTGGCACTACCACTTCCTGTTCAAGTCATGTTGTGATTTTGTTCTATTTAAATGCTGGAATGCAAATTTTTTGATTGCAAAGGGTAATTTGGATGATTGAGATTATAAGAATGTTGAATTTTCCAATTTATAGTGCTTTATTGGGCTCTAGAAGCGCCGTAATGCTTCTTTGACTCTGTGTCTATTTCTCTCACAAGGGTGTGGATCAGTGGGCTGAACGTTGCAAGCTGATGCCCCTCCAAGTGGCACTGCAGCACTTATACCCAGCTCTGAAGGCCTGCTCAAAGTGCTGCAGTCTCGGCCACCTGGTTGACGTCCTGAAGGAGCAAGGCCGTTTGGACGTTCTCAACAAAATCTCTCGACATATTGAAGGTGTGATAAAAGTTGTGTAGGCTGTTAGACTGATGGCCTTATTAGTGAATGTGTGGTGTGCAGGAATACAGGTCTGACTAGTTGTTACTGCTGTTTGTAGGTTCAGGCACAGTATTCTCACAATGTCTGCACTGTGGCGTCAAAAATGAAAAGAAAGCGAACAATTCATAGTGTCTCTGTAGCTACTGGTATTCTTCTGCCAAGTATGATGGAGCGCATTCGATTTGTGACCGTGGCTGCTATACTCCAATGGTGTTGAAAGTAAATATAATCATTTGCTGTTCTTTGAATGTACATCTCTGGTTCTTAGGTTGCTAATATTTACTTCAGCCCTCATCTGTGATGTCTCTGGTGCGTAAAAGCATCCGTAAAGTGCATTCAGCAGCTGATTTTTCGGGCTCTCCAGAAGTCGTAAAATGGGCCGAGAAATCAGATAGGCCATAAAGCCGCTGCAGATGTTTTTGCTTTCCTTGAGGGGTTGTATTGCCACTTTATCATTCAAAACAACCCTAAAGGCTTCCCACTGCAGTTACTAGATATCTCAGTGCTGTTGCGGCTCTCGGCGTTGTTCACCAGTAGTCGCTCCGAATCCCAGCGCTGAGCCCCCGTTTTTGCGGACCGGGTTCTACCCGGTCTTTTGTGGTAGCGTGGCGTAGCTTCGGGTGGAGGGAACGAACGCTCACAAGATGCGGATACGAAAAAACAAACAGGTTTATGGCACTATTCACACTTATTTACAGCATAAAAAGGTTAGGAGTCACACAAACCACGAGCGTGGTGGTTGAACCGTTACATGGTTCAGAGCGCCGTCCTGCATTCCGCAGCGTCGTTTTAAACCCTGTCGGGCTCCTCCTTCTTGATTGGAACATCAATCACACACACACAAGACACCGCCCACAGGGCATAATTCAGCAGCACATGGTTTGCCGAATAGGTATTGCCCCTCTTGACGCAATGCTCTGAGGATAGGGGAAATGGGGTTCCTTCCCGGAACAATTTGGTGGTTGGGTTGCTTCTTCTGCTTTTCCCAGGATGGGCAGCCAAGGAGTAAACACTTGAATCGCGGAGACACGACCTGTGCGGGCGGTGTGCTTCACCGTCTTGCTAAACAAGCCGGCCTGGAGGAATTGCTTGTAGGGACATTGGCTCACGGACTGTCTTCTAATACTTTTGTCGCTCCCCGCCACTGGATCCGAGTAATTGGGGTTCCGGGTGTGGGAGCGCTGCCCGGCTTTGTTTCTCAGCGACAGCATGGCGCCTGCTAACGACTGTCATAACAGTGCTCATACAATATAGTGATGGAAGATGGCAGGCACGTGCATGATGGTTAAAGAGGTGCTGTCACCTTTCTTGCAACTGTTTACTGTGCTATATGTATTCCATATATACAGAAATGACTGCGAGCAAGTGTGAAGCTCAGAAAATGCTGATCAAATATTTTTGTTTCAGTCAATTTTTACGTGGCATACCTTTTGACATATGACACTAGCTTGACAGCAAGCTACACTACTAATTCTGCTGACTTCATGCAGCAGTCTGACTAGTTGTGATGACATCGGTTACTAAAGCTTCCAAGATGGCCGTTTATGCATCACCAAAGTATTCAAAACGGTTTGCTTCTGCACCACCAATCGAGCCACAGTGCGAAGTGGTCATGGAAACTTCACTGTGAGAGGACCTCTCCTGAATCAGTATGACAACTTCCTTGAACTGTCAATGCATTTTTTTAACGGCGTTTCTCTCTGTGTGTCTGATGCACCTGCTGCTTGAAGAAATGAGATTCTCACAATTAAAGTGCAGGTGGAAAGTTTGTTTGCTAGCCAAGTTCAAGGTAGGAACTTGTAATAATGCAAACGGTTCACAAAGAACACGCTACGCAAAAGGTCCAAGACATTTGCTCATATTGGAAAGGGAAACTGACAACAGAAGATCAGTCCTGTTCCGGTCATACTTCAAGTACATCAACAAAGAAGAGCATTGCCAAAATCTTCGATCTTATGACAGCAAATTGACACAGAATAATTTACCAACTGAGAAACTTATTTAGGTTATTCTGGAGCTCCATTCATTGAATTTCGGCATGCTCTTTGGCATTCTGTCTCGGTGGAGCTCCTGCCACATCTCCCTTGCGATGCAACCTGTGCAACCTCGCAGGTTCGGTTCCTGCTCGTGGCAAGTTACCTTTTGTCCACTTTCCTTTTTTCACATTTACATTACAATCATTTCTAATAACATCCCGTATACTTTCCTTGGTGTTATTGTCTGTTAGATTTCATTAATATTATGTCCAACAAAGAACGGGAGCCCTTAACCGTACGCTGCTTTCCTTCATTCACGGCGAGGGTCTCGTTCTGGCAGGCTTGGTGCCTTTAGGTAATATACGAGGGATTATTGGTCAGCTGCCAGCTCGTAATGATTTCACGTGCTACGTGACACCAAACAGGCATATAAACAGTATTCCACACTTGCTGTCATGTCTACTGGCAGCGCTGACTAACGCTGCCACGGTTAATCCACACATATACCCCATAAAGTGGACGGGGGTATAACCGCCATGGTAGCTCAGTTGGCAGAGCTCCGACCCGTTATTCAAAGGTCGCAGGTTCGGTTTCTGCCCACAATAAGTAATCTTTTCGTGCACTTTTCTTTCTCCGCATTTACATTACAATTACTTCTAATAGTATCCCCTACACTTTCCTTGGCAATATTGATTGTTAGATCTTATTTGTATTGTGTTCCACAAAGAAAAGAAGCCCTTAACTATTCACTTCTTTCCTTCAACCTCTTACTAATGTTACACAATATACAGGGACATGATTCCGCATATATTTTAATGTCCCTAGTACTGCAATCTTTCACGTGACCACTTTGTAATCTTGGTATGTTTCAACACAGTGTTGCATGTGTTTGACTATATAACACTCCTGAATTGTGGTTGGTAAAGCTGAATTTGGGTCACTGTTATATCAAAGAGGTCAGCGATCTGGACTGTTGGTTCTAGTCTGCACGATAACCTGCGTCTCAGCAGAGGTGGAATTAAGTAATGCCGTCTCGGGCCTGAAATCACAGCAGAAAATTTTTTAAAACGTACAGCGAGTTGTTTTAGCGTCTGAAATTGTAGATGTCGCTACACATTAGCTTCATGTGGTACATGGCAGTGCCTCTATAGCTACCAGGCGTCTCCAAATAAAACTTGATTTTCACCAAAATATGTAATTCAGTTCTCATGAAACCAATAGAAATCACAAAATAATAAGAATTAGTGTCTAGGCTCAACTTATTTGCCAAAATTAGCTGTCGGCCTGTGTTTTAACAGTGAAGCAAACCGTCTTTATTGTGGATGATCAAGACCTGTCTGTGGCATTAACTAGTATAGTTGTACAGGGATGCAAAGTAAAAATAAAGGCTTAGGGTTTTGCATTATAACTTATTCATTTTTTTTATTTAGCTTTTGATGTCAGCTGATTGTATCTATGGCTTGCAAAAATGTAAACTGGTAGTCTGACCGAATTTCCAGACGAGCAACTAAAAGGTGGCAAGCATCTGTTCAATGTGTTCAATTTACTGTGGGGCTGTGTAAGACAGACAAGCCCCAAAACTTTTAGAAGCAACTGTACAATGCTTGTCCAATTCATGCCTATGGTTCTGTGTCTGTGCTGTTTCACAAATAAAGTTTAACTAACTCACCTTCCTTGTTTTAACTGGGCACTGGGAGCATATTTAGTTGCAATACCCTGAACTTCACTTCTTTACTAGATAAGTGGGAGTGCTTGGCTAAACTTATACTGCTATTCTTATTCGACAGGATTTCTCTCGGAGTCCTCTCGTGAAACCTGCTGTTTCGAGAAGAGCCATCACAAGATACTGGAAGACTCGCAGAGCTCGCTTTCATCTATGGATTCAGGCGTATGCAGCCTGGACGTTGGAGACTTCCTTGGTGACCCTGAAGGCAAGGACAGCATTCTGATTGGGTCAGCCCCACGGCAAGCTGCCCTACCGTATTCACCATGTTCGAAGAATGGAGCTATTGTTTCCAAAGCATTTTCTCCTGAATCCAACAGTTGCACAACTCCACCAAGTAAGTATAGAACAGTTTTTAGAGGTCACTGACTGCCATATGATTTGGCCATATGATGGGTTCAGCAAACCCACCAACTCTCCCAGTTTGCCCGGGAGGCTCCCGATTACTGACCAGTACTCGCGATTGTGTGAGTGCATTCATAACTCTCTCAATAAAGACCTAAACTGATAATTGCAAAGTATAGCTGTTATAAAAATTTTTTGGCCTTGAAGAACCCCTACGCCTTGCCGCGCGACTCTCCCCTCTACCCAGTGATGCAAAGGGAGGCGAAGCTGCCGCATTTGTGTGCAGCCTGTCTTATTTATGATTGAGCATATTATCTTGTATCTTAATGACAAAAGCAACACTTCTGCCTATGCGGTTAGCTTTACTATCATACAATGTTATGCAGTGAAGCATGCTAAGTGTGGTAAGGGGTAACGGAACTCTCAGATTTTTCATGCTTCCAAACATTCTATATGTGAAGTATTCAGGCTATTTCCGTTCAATAAAGCCGTAAAATATCCTATGCATTTACGTTAAACAATTGCTATGTTCTAATATTATTCAATGTTGTAGTCAAGTACTGTAGTGTTGAAAGTGAAACCAAATCAATGCTGAGCTAATTGTGCCTGCTAGTGATGAGATTGGAGTTTTCTTGAGATTGAATTTTTCAACAAGGTAGGTAAAAAAAAAAGCAGAGACTTCTTCATTTGGCAGTTATTGTAGCAGTACAATAAGTCTTGTGTTGTACTGATTCTCATCAGTTGCCTCACATACTGAATGCAAAGTTGTTCAGACAGCTGTAGCTTGACATCTTGCGTCCGCCGGAGTGAAGCATAAAAGCGAATAATAAGCCCCTCCCTATTTCGTGCCTCAGGTTTTGCAAATCCAGACAACGTCAGTTCGTCTCACAACAATAATGAACATGCCGAGGAAGAGGAGTCCATCTGTGAATCTCTGATTGATCAAATACTGCCGAAGGTAAGCACTGCCCTAGCTTTTCACTGGTGGGGTTCAGAAATACACAGCTTGTAAATCTTAGAAACATGCCTTTTTTATTTATTGTAACCACGTAGTTGTGGTGTAGGTTTAATGTAAATTTACTGAAATAGCAGTAGCATGCTTAAAACCGGGTTTGCCTTTCATCGCGTCTGCCCGTCCTTGCTTTCATTCAGCTCCTTCCATTGCTGATGACCATTGTTAACATTGACAACACAACCGCCATAGTAGTCTAATGGTTATGGTGCTCAACTCTAAGCGGAAAGTCGCGGAATCAACTCCCGGCTGCAGCGGCTGTATTTTTGATGGAAGCGAGAACGCTAGAGACCCGTGTACTTAGATTTGGGTGCACATTAAAAAACGCCATCCCTGAATTTCTGTAGTTTCCATACTGTACACTGTAGTCAATTACTCTTGAAGAACTCACGAATGTCTTGCATACTTGCTTTAGTAGGTTAGCGCTGCCATGCACAGGCAAAGCTAAATGACAACGCTGAATGCAAACTTGGCAAAATAAACTGTTTTATTGCAACTGCATTGATGTTTGCATAAAAATGAAGAATGCATAAGTAGCATTTTTTGCATGTATACCAGTCAATAACATGCATGCATAAACGTTTATATGCAAAGGAGCTACATATACTACCCATAGTCCCACCATCGATGTCCGAAGTACAGAAGCTCTCCAGTCCTACATGATGAATACACTGAACTTCACGAAGCATTTGTTCGTGTTGTAAAGTTGTACTCCTAAACTCCATGCACTTCTGCTACTCAAGATGTTGCGCCACTTCATTCACAGTGTTCATCAAACTGTCTATAATTGACATGAACAAATCCTTGTGCTTTTCTCAGCCGTCAGTGCCGCACGACTGTTTGTTTTGTAGTTCGCACGTCACTTTCCAATCTTCCAAGCGTCCATGCTATATACGCTTCTGATAACCTGAAATTTGATGAGAACCGTTTTTTGTGTGTACTGATCTAAAGTCTCACAAATAAAATCGGCAAAAAAGAGGTCTAGATGGATGTTTTGATTACCACTGCCGGCGGTGCGCTGTTGTTTTGACAAAGGGGCAACACCTGAATATCTGGACGCGAAACTCTCAGCATGCCACTAGCTTGACAACGCCACTCAAGTCTGTAGCTCGTAACAAGCCATGCTAGAAAAGTGTTGACACCCATGCGTTTCCTGTCTTCTTCATTATCCTTGACTAGCTTTTAACTCAAGGGGAGAGCTGCTTTTTGAGGCCAAATACTGCTAATAGGATCGATTTATTTTAGGTCTTAACTTGGGATTCATCTATCATAGCATGACCAGTTTAATTCATGCTAGATCACTGTATCAGTCATAACGGTCCTTTATATGATGTCAGCAACCAATGTAGTTTCATTCTTTATTTGCCTTGCTTTTTCATAGCCTGACAATTTTTTATTAAAAGCTTTTCTCCGCTCAGCTTTGGCACAGACTATGCTGAACATTTTTGTTTTGCTGAAAAGCTGAGTGTTTTGTGAATACAGCAGGGTCTCAAAGGTTACTTTAGGAAGTTAAAAAATTTTTTAGAGAGGGTGAAATTGAGAAAAAAATCAAAAAATGCTTTTTCGTAGTTATTAAAATTAGAACTAGCTTGCTCCATAACTATTGCTATAAGCAACTTAGGACAAAAAATTGCACTCTCTGGTAATTGTATAATCCAAAAACATTTCATTCAGCTCTGTGGGAGTAGATGGTTTATAAAATCATGATGAAATGAAGGTAATACAAAAAGTAATGTTATGGTATGCTTAAAAGCTGAGCTAATATTTGATGTGAGCTAATGGAAATGCAAAAAAAGAAAATGTAACTTTTGATCAATTTTAACTCAAAAATAAATGTGCACCCTGTGTGCGAAGATTATTCTTCATGTCTTACCACCATGCCCAAACAGCCTCGTTATTGTCATTATAATTTGACTTACTATATGTACTCGCATATCGGCACACTGTTTTTTTCAGAAAATCTGGCACCAAGTTTCGGGTGCACCTATTACACGGGGTCAAATTTTTGAAACTTTTAATTCTGACTACAGCGTACACCGCTGATCATGTAAGTTGCCGAAGTCACGAATATCCGCACTACAGCCCAAGTAACCTTCTATATAGGCTACACTAGCACAAAACGAGTTTAGCATGCAGTCTCGCCTGTCTGTGACTTGAGGCATGCAATGCAGTGTGCTTACAAGCATTCCACTTTCCAAAAGTTAACATCCAATGAGTCGCATTGCCAACAAAGTGAACGAAGGAAATAAAACTACGAGAAGAAAGCGCTATCGCGCAAACTCGCCGATTAGTATTCGGACCATCTAGATTATGTGCATTATCACGACAGAAATTTTGTCCGCTGAACAGTACAGATTGTTCATTTCATGAGCTCGCACCCATATCCAATGACATTGCCACAAATCGTGAACCATCATTCGAGTGTTGCAAGCACCACCTATGGGACATTTTCTTCAAGTAGAGCCACCACAGAGTTAAGTTGATTCCGTCAAAAAAGCAACTTCAATCACCCACGACTGCCACCAAAAAGAACCTAGCCTACGGTTCGGCATGTTGCGGGAAGTTCGTGCTAGGGAGGGGGCAACATGAAAATTGGGCGCCGAAAAAATTCAACTCTAGCACTGATCCAGGCGTAGCGTGTGTCATATGGCATTTAGGTTTGCGACCGGGAAATTACGGCGACAAAGGTCCACTGAGCTTGTGCAAGTCGAAGTAGTGGCAGCAAAAGCGAAAGCTCGTGTCAGAAAACCAAATAGCTTTTAAATTTGCTCACAAGGGAACAAGTATGATAAGAACGACGCTTTTCCCGACAGAAAACTCTAAGTGCACTTTAGGTTGTGATCGCACGTTCCATGCGGAGCGCGCGCGGTTGGAGCCTGCTGGCACCGGTGCAAAGGTTACTTCGACGTCCGGACAACCGCCCTTCTTCCTCACTCGGCGAGCCCGCACAGCGCTGCCACAGTTTTTTTAACACGAAAGTGTTTTATGCCGGGATCCACCAAAACTTCAGTGATTTATTTCTGTCACGGATATTACGTTAACGCTACTAAATTGGAAAGAAAAAAAAACACTCAGGAAAAACTTTTCTCGGTGAGCGTTGAACCTCTGACTTTTTGGGAAAAAATGAAGTCTGCCCGGTGCCCTGCCAAGTAAGCTTTTAAGGCAGTTTCGGGGCATTGTACGAATGTGTCTTATATGTTTCACACATGCTTTCTCGCTCCGTGCTCTGTGTTAGCGACGCGAGGCAATGCTGCTGTCTGTGAGTGCTCAAGAGAAGTAATGTGGCATGAGACGTAGTTAAAGCACGGCATCGGAGATGGCAGGGAGGTGCATTCTGGAAGGTCATCGTGAAAGCTTCTCGATATCAGTGAAAAACTCGAACGGAACGAGCATCGGAGAGTTGCCGACACAGTTATGCTCTATGCGTTTCGCTTCATGTGTGTGCATGACAACTTGTCGAAGTCGTGCAGCTCCCACATGCACCAATGATGTTTTACTGCAGACTAATTCGAGTGTGATAGCACCAGCTTATTTGATAGAGCGGGTGCATTACGCGTGGCAGCAAGGCAACGGTGTCGACAGGCAAACGACATGAGTTGGTGGAGCGAAACGGAGGAAAGCACGATGTGGAACGCAGGGACACGCTCGCAGGTCGTTCTACAAACCTCTGCGTTCCGCATTACTGAAGCATAGTGTGCGCGAGCACTGACGTAAGTTTCAGGAGCGCACGCCGTGCTGTTTCTCTCCGTAAGTGACGATTTTTGAAGATGCTCATATCGAGTAGCAATGTAGTGTGGGCTTGTTGATGTCATCTTTGTGTGCAATCGATGTTCTAGTATAGGTTAAAAACTTCAGATACCACGATGGTTAATGATGATTGTGGGTAATAGTTGCCACAATGGAGACGAGCCACTAGTTGTCAACAAGTTTGTGTCTACATCAAACGGTGTTATATCTGGGAAACAGCAATAGAAATTGTACTAGCTCTTATATATCAATACACAATAAGCACTACTTCTATGGAGACACGTTCACTTTCGTGTTATACCAATTCCTATGATCGAGTGATCAGCCATATCTTTTCTTTTATTTTTCCTCATTCCAGTTGAGTAGGAGTACGTTGAATTGCCACCGTAGAAATACGACACAGGATTACCAATCACTGCCAAGTTCTGGGATGTGCATATTATGCGAAAAGAACAACAAAAAAAAATCGTTATTTTTCACAACCAAACTGGGGGTGTGCCTGTTATAAAAGTGCACTTATTCTGTGAATAAATGCAGAACAACATGGGCACATTGCTGACTGAGGACTGTCACCAGCCCGTCCTCTGTGCGTCACGCTCCAGTTTTCATGTTACTTCTGTCGTTTCTTTTTCCGTTCTGCTGTCATAACTCTCCTTGTTTTTGCTTTTCGTTGCAGGCAAAGCTTGACAATGACAAATTGACAGTCTTTGTGAGCCACCTTGAAGAGGACGCCGGTCTAGCCCAAGAACTAGCCAAGATATTAGAAACTGAACACGAGTGCTACGTCCTAACCCAAGCCGAGATTCAGCCTGCCCTTCATACTAATCCCACTCTGATTGAGGACTTAATACAGAAGGTCTGTGGAATTTTTGCACCCTATGTGCTTTCCTTTTTGTACTTCGTTTTCTGTTGACAGCACTGGATGCTTGCTGAAGCAGTATAAGCGTAGCCGTAAGTGTCCCGATAAATGCCTCAACCTAATTTCAAGGAAGAAAAAATAAGAAGCAAGCCAATTCAAGTTATCATATTTAAGTCGCATCATAATGGCAAACACGAGCTAGGTAGTTAGCCAGAGTCTTATTTGAAAGCAAGTCATTTGAGCTCGGGGAGTGTGTAAGCATAACATGTAGGTATTTCACATCATGGAGGAAGAAACAAACTAGGAGATAACATTATTTCATGCGGTGTTCTATGTAATGTTGATGACTAGATACAGTGATCCCACTCCTGCTCCAACTGTGCCAAAATCCACCAAGTCAGATTTTCTGCGCCATCCTGATAATATCAACGGGAATTGTGCCGAACTGCGCCAAAGTATGATTTAGGAGCGTCTATCATCAGCAATAGCAATGCCAGCAAGTCAAAACATGTTCATTTTGTTCTCGGGGCCACCAAAGTCATAATCAAATGGCTAAAATATTCCGCTGAGGAAACAGCGATCACGTGAGCGTCCTAAGTAAACCGCGAATCTACGCTTGGTGCCGACGCAACTTCTGTTGTGCAAGCCCACTTGGCTTTACGGCGAAACGTGCTCTTCGCAGGGGCTCGTGGCGCCTAATTCAATTGGTGCGTAAAACTGTGGTGGCGATTCACTGGCGGATGTCGTCCGTTTCAGAAATGCTGCTGAGAGCTCGTTTGAAGGGTTGCAAGGCATGTAATTAATGCAATTTTCACTAATAACTGCACATGGGCTGTCAAAATGTCTGTCACGTCTACTTCTTGGCATCGCAATCTGATTGTCTGCACTTCGCGTCCACAGAACACTTGAACGGTGGAAACGCTATTACATTTTTCCTTTAATATACTTAGGGATACATGAGCACTATTGTATGGGGTTAAGTACTAGGCAGAGTCACGCACTCAGGCATGTAGTGTGGGAAATAGAATAGTTGTAATACAGCATGTGCTGCCTAACCTGAATGTAGTAGAAAACAGAATAGTGAGTAGAAAAGCGTTTATCAAGACGGGAGTTACTAAGAAAAGTTACTTTGGTATTTCTGAAGAGAGAGACACCTGGTATTTTTTTTTATTCATCGAGTTCAACACGATCAACATGAATTTGGCAGGGTTGTTTTCACAATTGAAAAACCAGGTACTGCCTGCTCCCATCCCATTAGCTACACAGTTTGTCTAGACAAGAGCAAGCGATTTCTGACCGTCTATAGAATGAAAATAATAATCGCTTACCGCGTGCAGTGCTGTGTTTGGCTTGCTTGTTTACGGGAGCCTTGACTAGTGATCGGCACTGATATATTTAGCATGTTAGAAGTGCTGCCTATATTCCGCTGATATTTGTCTGACTGCATGCAGTTTGGCTTGTTTTTAGGGGCTAATTTTAAGTATCTTTTTAGATTGAGGGCTCTGCTGGCCCTCACTAACGTGTGATCATTGCTGTTTACCTTGCCTAATTTTTTCCCCACCGCGGTGGTCTAGTGGTTAAGGTACTCGGCTGCTGACCCGAAGGTCGCGGGATCGAATCCCGGATGTGGGGGCTGCATTTTTAATGGAAGTGAAAACGCCGTAGGTCTGTGTGCTCAGATTTGGGTGCACGTTGAAGCATAGAGTTTCTTATTATACACTAGAGGGAACTCTGGCGCTAGTGTCTACAGGAGCTGCAACGCACAGCGCTTCAGCGAGGATGGGAATGATGGGTAGTGCACACATTTGTCTAATCTTCGTACTTCTGGCCTGCTTCTGGCTTCGTTTGTGTTCATGTTGCTTGGAGCTGTTTTCTCACGAAACAAAAAAATCGGCAAATGTTCTGTGGTTGTGCTTTGCCACCTTATTTTTTAAGGCTTACCTTTTCAAACCAGGTCACGAAGTTCAAAAGGTTTCGTTTTTTTTCTTTGAAACGAAACAGTAACCAGCAATAAACGAAGCCGCAAGTACGAAGACTAGGCCAATGTGTGTACTACCCATCATTCCCATCGTCACTGAACGATCACAGCGCCAGAGTGCCCTCTAGTTAATTTTAAGAAACTCTATGCGTCGAAGAACCCCAAATAATTTAAATTGTTGAAGCTCTCCACTATGGCGTCTCCCATAATAATATAGTAGTTTTGAGACACTAAACTCCACATATAGATCAATTCTTGCGTAATTTTTTTATGCACAGTTTGATGTCTAGGTTATCACATAATGTAAAATCTATATTTCATTCATTGTTTCTTCTGTAGTGGCTTTTTCATGTCTAATTCCTATTTCTGTGTTTTTGCTAAAGAGGGCATTTATTGTGTTGAGTTAATTTCATTCTGCAAATAGCACTAACATCACCTCTGTTGCTCGTAGGTCAACATCATAGTTACCAATTTCCTTTTTCCTTTTCCATTTTTTTCCTACTTTCGCTCTGATGGCTCCTATGTAAATGTTTTACTGTGTGCAATCCTTTACACCAATGTAAAATAGCATGTCTTAATCAGCTCACATCTTTTTTCTCTGCATTGATTCTGACAGACCAAACTAGCATGCACTTCTGTCAAATGTGGGCAGAAGCTACCATGTTGCAATACATAGTTTAGTGCATGTTTTAGGAGAGATGAAAAGTGCTCGTTGCTGTAGCTTAAAGGGGTGGTAAAAAACCACCCCAAGGCTGAGTGAAAAGACCCATTCTGTAGGAACCAGTCACTCGTGACAAGGAAAGTTCAGAAGCAAAGCACAAAGTTACTATTTTTTCAGGTCCCCTCTTTTCATACAGAAGCCTCTGCTCACTTTGGAGCTGCTGGTACCTGCTGTTTGGTGTCTCACAACAGATGACATGCTATTGGCTAATAGCCAACATCAATCAAAAGTGGTATTTAGAGCAGATGCCCTTCTTGCCACAGAGTGTCATCACATTCTAGTCTTTATAGTCTGCCAACATTACACATTGGTCAAACAAGTGTACCCAGAAATTGCAACGGGAATGAGAGATCAAATGTTGTCATGTGCTCTTAAGGTCACGGCATGCGCCGAGGCATTTTATTCCCCACATCCTAATCCTTCGTGTGTACTTGTTAGTGCACTCGTCGGGACGAGGGAAGAGTGAAAGCATCAAAGGTGGACATTAACCCACATTAGCTACGCTCGTTTAGCAGATTCGAGAACTTTTTGTGGCTACTGATTCATGAGGCGATAAACTCCAGTAATGTTGTCATTCTATAATTATCTGGAAAGTTGCCCAGGACACCTTTAAGAAGGGTGTTGTTTTTTCTTTTGCAGGTAAAGGCCATTGTGCCGTTGGTCACAAGAGCCTACCTAGACCACTATGAGCATACACGGCGGACAATCGATCTGAACTCTGCCGACAGCATATTGACACATGAGGTGTACACTCTGTTTCTTCACCGGCTTGTCTCAAGCTCTTGTCTGTACTACATGTTGTTCCCGGTACGCACCCCTGATGTGAAGTACACAGAGGTCCGCCACCACCATATTTTTGCCAAGTCCAAGGTGCTGTGCAAAGAAGACCTTGCTCGACTAGTGACAAACATGCATGGTTGTCGCAAGCTAAGGCTGTCTAATGAAAGGAGAGGCTCGTGAACTTGATGGCACTGTGCCTTTGTGACGATGGGGTTGGATTCCTAGACGCGCTGAGCAGATTTCACTGGGTGTGTGAAACTCAAAAACAAAACAAAAAACTAGAAAATGCTCTACATAAACATAAAAACACTGTACTTAGCTTTAAATGCACATTAGTGAACCTAAAATGTTCAAAGTTAATTCAGAGCTGTCAACTAGGCTTTATCTCATTACATTAATGCCGTGCTGAAATATTCTTGAATTGGCAACGAGTGTACCTTGCCAACGAGGGTACAAGCAGTGCATTTTTTTGAAGGGGAAAACAAGGCAGTGCCTTGTTCTTTCGTTCATGTCATTGAATATTCAATCATGCGTTAATATTTATTCATGCCTTCATTACACGTGTTTTTCATATTCCGGTTACTTGTTATGCTATGCCTCCATTTTTGATGTGCAATTGTGTGAACAGGAACTAGGGTCGAATATAGGCTGGCTAAAATTTTAACAGCCGGACATATCTTTATGAAATGCACCTCCGGTTATTGTCCTTGACTCGTTAGGTTTGAAAGGATTAGTCAGTAACATCATATAATGTGGTGTCGCTCCAGACACACGTAATTTTCAACAGAAGGAACTGGTGGAGATGGAATCGGCATGGTCTTTTTTCAAAAAATTGTTTTAGAAAATGTTTTTCATAAAGGAAAAGAAAAAAAGGCTATAGGGTGAGTGTGGTTTAGAGCTTTATAAGATGTGTGGATATAAGAGGAGAAAAGAAAAAATTCTACATGTGCAGAGAACAAAATAAATATGTAAATGGTTGGAAGGAGAGGCATTTGGGAAAATTTGTGAAGGTGGTGTAGCCTTCACTAAGCTTAGAAGATGATGGCAGGTAGGCAGTATGCAGTTAAGTAGGTGTATGTATGCATTCAAATGGTGGAAACAATCTACTTCTGAAAAAAAAAAAAAAGTGAAGCTGGCACTGCGCCACGCAAGGCTTGAAACAGCGAAGCCCCACAATCCTGAATACTACATTGATTGCTTCTATATCGTTACTAAGTTTAAGATAGGTGATGCTAGGTTGTTTCTACTGTAGTGGGGAAGAGGGAGAGAGACAGTATCTAGTTGAAGCACCTAGAAGACGACTACGACGAAGAGCTGTGCTCGTGACAGTGACTGACGCCCCTTGAACCAAGCAGTTGGTTTTAGTCAATAAACCCCCTTATAATTTGGTGGAAGTGCTGGGGTAGTCTTCGAAGCTGGAATTACGAAGTCGCACCTTACCTCCAGTGCCAGCAATGCCCGAAGAACCCTCCACCCTAGGTACCTCGCAAGTTTCGCCTCTACATGTCCCAGCGTGTGGCCACTGCGTCACCCACCGACCTTCAGCGGCACTGACAGCCAAGACGTTGAGGAGTGGCTGGCTACTTACCACAAGGTGAGCGCAGCGAACAAGTGGGACGATGCGGCTAAGCTGACCCATGTAAGCTTTTACTGGTCCGGGGTCGCTATTCTCTGGTTGCGCAATCAGGAAGCCGACATTGCCAGCTGGAATTCATTCAAGACCTCCTTTTCGCATGTCTTCGACCGCCCTGCTGTGCGAAAACTCCGCGCAGAACAATGACTTCGTGAGTGCACTTAACAGCCAGGAGAGACCTTTAGCAGCTACATTGACGACAATGTTGACTTGTGCAAGCGGGTAAATCCAGCAATGCTCGAAGCCGACAAAATCGAACAAATCCTCAAGGGCATATGCAGTGATGCATTTCAAATGTTGTTAGCCAAGGACCCACAAACCATAGACAATCTCGTCAGCTTGTGCTAGAGTTTTGACGAATTGCGCAAGCAACACGCCCAAACACGGCTCTCTCTGGAACAACTTGACTCGATCGCGGCCTTGACTCTCGGAGACCAGAACGACATGTTGACTCGCATAAAGCAGTTGGTGTGTGAGGAGGTCGCTCGGCAGCTCTCCATTTTATTGAGCACGCCCGAACAAGCACAAACGCATCTTCTGGCCCCAGATCATCTGGCCCCGGCCATAAGGCACGTCATACAAGATGAGGTAGCTGAAGCTTTGCCTTTCGCTCGTTCACCACCTCTGGAGGCCGCATCCTTGACGTATGCGCAAGTTGTTGCAGCCAGAGCACCTCGACAGCCCACTTATGCTACCTCACCGGTCGCTGTTCGCTCATCACCAGTTTCGTTCAGCGGGCCAATTGCGGCGTTTCCGAATCAGTGGCGCATCGCAGACAACCGCTTGATTTGCTATTCTTGCAGTTACGCAGGACATGTGGCTCGCTTGTGCCGCCGCTGCCCTCTCTTTCACAGCCACACTATGCAAAGGTCGTCGCACAACTCTCGGTGCTTTAACAACACGGCACGTCAACAAGGATTCTCTTCACCCGAACGCCCCACCTCAGTCAGTCACCGATCTCCATCTCCCCGACGTTGCTCCCTGTCACCTATGCGCTGTCGACGCTGCCTTTCAGATGCGGAAAACTAGATGCCGCAGTTCCCGAGGCACGAACTGCGTCGTCGTTGAAAGAATCAAGTCCTCGCATTTCTTCGACAAACCTCATCGACATTTTTGTGGATGGTTACCGTACCCTTGCGCTTGTGGACACTGGTGCTGCTGTTTCAGTAATTGATTTAAAACTTTGCCACCTGCTTCAGAAGGTTACGACGACACCAAAGGGATTGTACCTCTGTACTGTCAGTGCTCACCATATTCGACCATCAGCTGCCTGTACTGCCCGCGTTCTCATCCAAGATGTTTTGTATACCGTTGAATTTCTTGTGCTACGGCGTGTTCTTATGATGTGATCCTCGGCTGGGATTTTCTGTCTCATAATCATGCGGTTATCGACTGTGCTCGTGCTGAAGTGGCCATCTCTGCGTTGTGTGCCCCATCTTCGGAACTTTCGTTGAACAAGCTGTTTGTCGCCGACGACATCGACATACCACCGACTAGCGCAGCCTTCGTTCCCGTGTCTTGTGCCGATGTGTATAAGCTTGCAGTGTTGTTTACACCTTCCCAAACATTCCAATGTCGCAAGAGCCTCGCGTTGTTGTTTGCAGGTCTAGATGTTTCGGCGGGCGCTACCAATTTGTTTGTCACAAATCTCTTGCCTTCTCCCACAACCTTGCGTCGCGGAGAATGTATTGAAACATTCCAAGACTTAGACGTTTCCTCCATCTGCGGCCTTGACGGTGAAAGTGATTTGCAGCTTAATGCACTGACGCCATCTGCCCATTCACCTGTTAAAGAAAACATTAATTTGTTTGGCCTCTCAATTGATGGCAGACTTGAAGAACCACACCGCGAGAAGCTTCTTGAACTTCCTCACCAGTTTCGTGGCTCGGTCAATTGCCAGTAAATGTCCTTAGGCCGAACGCACACCGTTGTCCGTCACATTAACACTGGCTCCCAAGCGCCTCTGCGACAGCGTCCCTACCGTGTATCTCCTGTAGAGCGTCGTGTAATCACCGAGCAAGTGGCCGACATGCTTCAACGTGGCGGCATTCGGCCATCCAGCAGTCCCTGGTCTTAATCTGTGGTACTTGTGAGGAAAAAAGATAACTCGGTTCACTTTTGCGTCGATTACCGCCGTTTAAACAAAGTGACGCTTAAAGACGTATGCCCTTTGCCACGCATCGATGATGCCCTGGACTGCTTGCAAGGCGCTGAATTCTTCTGATCACTAGACCTACGGTCTGGTTATTGGCAGGTCCCCATGGCACCATCAGATCGTCCAAACACTGCTTTTGTGACGCCCGATGGGCTATACAAATTTAATGTAATGCCCTTCGGCCTTTGTAATGCGCCAGCTACATTCGAAGGATGATGGATAGCGTCTTGGTTAGGCTAAAATGGAAGACATGTCTATGTTACTTGGATGATGTCGTTCTTTTCTCCCCTGATTTCAACAGCCACCTCCATCGTCTCAGTGAAGTCTTGAGCTACCTCACGAGCGGAAGCCTTCAACTAAACATCAAGAAGTGCCACTTCGGAGCTCGGAAGCTCACAATACTTGGTCACGTTGTTTCAAAACATGGCGTACTTCCAGACCCAGAGAAGCTTCGTGCTGTCCCTGAGTTCCCGAAGCCTGCGATCGTGAAAGCGCTTCGCAGCTTCGTCGGACTGTGGTGATACTTTCGCCACTTTGTGAAGAACTTTGCTTCGATAATCGCACCACTGACACAGCTGATCACTGGCGATGGACACCTCTCTAATTGGTCGCCAGCATGCGATGATGTTTTGCAACATTATGCCATCCCCTTACTTCACCACCTATTTTACGCCACTTTGACCCTACGGCTCCAACCGGGGTGCACACGGATGTCATTGGCATAGGACTTGGCGCTGTCCTTGCTCAACGCAAGCCTGGCTTCTCGGAGTATGTAGTTGCGTATGCCAGTCGCACCCTAACCAAGGCAGAGCACAAATACTTGGTTTCCGAAAAGGAATGTTTGGCCATTATTTGGGCATTACAAAAATTTTGTCCTTACTTATACAGACGCCTATTTGATGTAGTTACGGATCATCATTCACTCCGTTGGCTCACTTTATTGAAGGATCCTTCGGGACGGCTGGGTGTTGGGCGCTGCGTTTACAGGAATTTGATATTCACGTCATTTACCGCTCAGGCCACAAGCATGCCGACGCAGATGCTCTTTCTCATTCGCCATTCCTTCAGGCGTTGCACCCGTTTGCTTTGCCGAAGCTACCATCGACAGCATCGAAACCGCTGACATGCCTTCGGAACAACGCAAAGACTCTTTGATAGCCTCGCTCATCGAAGTTCTCTCCTCGTCTGTGGCCACACCACGCCAGCGTCTACCTCGTGCACTATTTCGGCAAATTCCCCATTATGTGATACGGGATGCCATGTTGTACCGTCGCAACTATCAGCCGTATGGTAGGAAATGGCTTCTTGTTATACCTCGCCATTTGCGCTCCAACATGTGTGCGTACTTCCACGCAGACCCTCAAAACGCGCACACTGGCATTTTGAAAACATACGA